TAGGTATTTCAATAAAACACGAACGGCCTTATTACAAAAAAAAAACTTAAGCCAGGACTGTGGAGTCTTGGTTTAACTCCTAAACAATGTTGAAGGTAGTATATACTTAGTGCAGTACATACGTTAAACTTCGTTTTGTAATAAGGATTTTAAGTAAAGTAGGGTTTAAACCAGGTTTTCGAGTTAGTCTTCGTATAAGTTTAAAACGCGTAAAACATTCGTTATCTTGACAATGCGGTTTTTCTTACAAAGTTTTTTTTCCCTTTATCAAACACACTTAAGGATAACACTAGAATTACCATGATGTCTGCGTTAAATCTCATTGAAATCGGTTCAGTATATTGGTTGCAAAAGCGTTAGTTACAATTTTTAACTAATTCACAAAAAAGGTAATAGATTTATTTTAACGGTTTAAAACGCAAAAAATATTAGTTTTATTTACAATCTATTAACTACGCCCCGATTTGCGAACCGTGGTCCCGGGGTGATTGATAATTATTTATTCATAATGACTAACAATGCATCCTTTATTTTCGAGTCATCGACATTAATTAGAAGCTAATAATCACAAAATACCAATTATGTATGTGATCTTCATATTCAACCAACAATGTAAAACTCAAAGCGAACTTGTAATCTTATATAGTCGCATGCGGTTCATTGGTAGGTAAACTCCAGTTATTTACCTAACATATAAACACGATGCGCTGTCTATCTAATTTGGTTTTAGGTATTCGGAGACGAATAGTTCCTTTTTCAGGCCCTATATTCTTTTCAGGGTTCCTTCTGTTTCTATTTGTTAATATTATTAAATTATTAATTGTTAAATCTATTACAATGTTATACTGTACAAAAAGGTATTTCTTTTAGAGCTGTATTTTACAATAGTTTATTTTATAGTTGCAAACATATTTATATCAACTGCAAAACATGATGCCACCCCTAGAAGAGCCACGATTGTGGTTATATAAGGGTCCACGAGAAACTAACATTTGCGGTGACCTAAAAGTAAATAAGATAGATATTTTTTTGTATTCATAGAATAAGTGATGTGGTGTTTAAAACTAATAAAGTTAAATAAATAAATATATTTTTTGTAAAATAACAATAATGAGGCGAACATTTTTGATAAATACCAACTATCAGTAGTTTACGCGAGTAATTTAAATAAATACTATAACGGTTTAAAACGCGATGTATTTTAGTTAAACTTTGTTTGAGAATTATTTTTAATTACGCCCCGACGTTTCGGATATATTGTAGCAGCCGTCTCCCCGTGACCACGGAAAACAAGTTTAACTAAAATATATCCCGTTTTAAATTGTTAAAGTGTTTAATTTAAATACCAGCGATGTTAGTGTTCAGTTTAAAATTTAGGTTGGCGACCCCTGTCTAATTTCGTCAAGCACTGTCTTACATCGCTCAAGACTTCGATCACACGATAACCAAGCAGATGGCTGTTTTTTATTCAATTGGGACACGAAATGCCTACCTCATCGTGTTGCAGTTTAAATTTGTTTGACTCAGTAGTATTTAATTTTTACGTAAGGCGACTTCTTTTTGAGTTTGACACAAATATGATAAAACGATTTTAAAGGTTTAAAACGCGAAATATATTAACTGTAGCCGGGGTTACGGGAGGAATAAGTTAATTAATATATTTCGCGAGTTAAACCGTTAAAAATGGTTTATTCAAATGAGTACTATCTACTCGCGGAAACTACTGACAATACATTTACACTTTTACATAAAAATAACATGCAGAGTTGAAATCCAAATATAGAAATTAAATTTAAATTATCATACTTAACTTTTTTTTGGTTTAGGTTCCCTGGCAAAAACTCTTATACTTCGACAAACGAAAAACGGTTGTTGTGAGTTAATATCTACTATATGACATATATTAAGTACGACGGTACGCGACCGACGACGTCGGTCAGCAACAGATATAATCGATTAAGTTGAGAAGATTTGGAAAAAAAAACTGATGCCTATAATAACCATTATACGCGAACGAAGTCGCTGGCACAGACAGTATAGATAACCCCAGTTAGACGGATTAACTGAAATCTTTGTTAAACTGTAACAAGTATTTCAGGATTCAGGTCACACTGCACTCAAAATCTGATCTCAAACTTATATTCAAAGGGTTGCAAATGCACTTCCTTTTTAATATTCATACATGACGTCAGACTTAGGCTGTAGTCTCCTATAAGCGCAATAGATCGCAATGCGCCGCGGTAAAATCATTTTTTTTTTATGAGGCGGCAATTCTTTTTAAGGTGGAAGACTAATGTTAACTTAAGATGTAACATAGTGTATTTAAATTGAAAAAAAAAATTATGAGACAGCAGTTAGAGCAGCATAGAAATTTGTGGATGGCGATTAAAGTCCCGGCCGTTTTGTCAAATTTTTTTAACTATCATAATGCCATCATGTGAAAAATATTACAGTTTTCAATTCCCACTTCTTCAATAAAAGTATTATTATATTATATTATTTTTATTATGACTAATTTTAATAAAGTGTGACATCCCGTTTCACTGATCTGATTTATTCAAAGTAGTTGATCGGACTTCAGTGTTGTATTGTTCCCCAGGTATTCGATCCCAGAACTTCTCGCGACCAACCCAATGCTATGCAACACCATTAACCATTAAACTACAGGAGACGGTTAAATTATGAGTTGAAAATTGAAACTTGCAAATGTCACTTGTTGGCCCGAAGATATTGCGTCGGATAATTATTATATTTCATTAGAAATTATTTTTAACTACCCGCGTGATGCGTAGTAATAATTTGCATATTTTAGTAATAAGTAAAGTAGATTTTTGTAATCTAAATAGCAAATAAATGTCTTGAAACCGAAATTTCATTTAGCTCTTGCTATGTACATACATAAGAGGATGGATACACGTTCATGTTTGCGTCAAAGTCAACGTTTACGATGCTAGGATTGTAAATAATGAGACGTGGACCGTTTGTATCCCGCCCACAACTTTCACCCGACGTCAGCGTATGAATCCACCAGTACATTCCAACCAACGATGTACGCGACTCACACCGTTTATAGGAGACCGCAGGCTTATACGTCACAATTTAAAATGGAATCTTATCTCAAACAGTTGATTAAAATATTCTTACAATCCAAGGACTGCATTTTGTATTATTATAAAAAGTTAGTGCATATTTGTTGTGTCATCTAAATCTATATATTTTTGTAAATTGAAATTCAAAAATTTTGATTGGGCTTTTTGTAAAGGTTTTTATAATTTACTTATACTAAGTTAGAGATTCCTAAATAAAATAATGCATAAATTATAAATAGATAAAAAAAAGGTATTCAAACTGGCCCGTGTCTATACCAGAGTTAAATTCATAACATAGTTTATAATAAAGTCGAAGGTTGATGCTAAAATAATAATTATTATACTCTTGTGACTTAAACGCTTTTCAAGAAATAATATCTTTTTTTTTGCCCGGTTTTTGTAAGAAATACGGTCTTAGTCAAAACTTTACGACAACGCAAAAGTTAGGAATATTAAGGAGTGTTCATTAAAATACAGAGTAATTTTAATATAGATATTTATTACTAAAAGCGGTAAATAGGGTGACAATAAACTCTATTAATAATTTAACAAAACTCTAATATTTTTTTTCAATTTTTTTGGCATCACAGTACATTCAAGACAGTGTTAGTCGATTCTATAACTTACGTAAAATTATGTTTAACACACAATTAAGACACAATAATTTCATCTCACTAAATGTAAAACCTTTAAAGGTTTTCGATTGAAACATGAACAAAGACAGAATAATTATTTAGTGTTGTCCTGTTTGGGCATACATCAAACATTATTATGGCACCGTATACAAAAACATATCTGTATTCTGGAATAAGCACCAAATTTGATTGGTTCTTGCAAAACCAAATTAAAATGACACTGGAAGGACAAAAATGCCGCTTAGTCAAGGAGGCCAGGAATCTCTTGTTTGCGGAGTACGTATGATATTGTTTGACTTGTAAGAATTTTCAACATTAAACATTTATAAGTTATTCAATATACTATCACAATGATTTTACACAAAAAATAACAATAAGGCTAGATTCAGATGACAAGCGTTCAACGCGAGTTTGCACACATTTTATTCAAACCGTACACATGATTATTATCGCATCATTAGTTCTCTATGTTTAAATAAAACGCTTTAAGAATTTAAAATGCGATATATGTTAGTTAAACTTATTAGAAAACTATTTAATATCGTCGGGCCGAAGCTAAGATAATTTTCAAATAAGTTAAACTAATGTATATCGCGTTTTAAACCGTTGAAGTGTTTTATTTAAATACGTGCTACTCGCATAAATTACATTTAGTTTTCTATGATTCCGTTCTAATGGCTCAAATGAATCAAGCTGAGCGCTTGTGATCTGACCGTGGCCTAAGATAAAATTAGTTTAAAATTTTACACATTCAAAACACAGCAACACTTGTGCAAGACGAAATAGATTACGTGTTATCCATCATTTAAAATAAAAAGCGATGTTGTTATTTAAAAAAGAAAAGATATATTCGTTTATTATTATCGCCTATTTATTGCTATGTAGTCGGGTGCTTATTGAGTGACTAACTAGTTTTATTATTAAATGTAGATAAATAGTTACAGTACAATTAAACAAAGTGGTTATTCACTTTCAAAATACAGTTAAATAAGCTGCTAGGCAATTTAGGTAATATGTTTTTATCTAGGGAGTGAGGGGGGGGGGTCCACCCCCTAATATTGCGTATATTAGGGCTGTCACATATATTTTACAAATTCCGACACTATTTCTTATATCGTTGATAATATGTCTTTAACTACTTCGATTTAGCTTGAAAACAATACCAAAACGTAAATAAACTTATAGCTATTTACAAAAACTGACGAATACGTTAAGGGGGCAATAGCAACATTTCGATTACAATAAAATAGTTCGATTATCGACCGTGAGAGGTCACTCATACGATTAACATTTTGGAAGAATCCTTATCTATATAAGCTAGGTGGATGTTATTAGTTACGCCACCGCTCCATTGGTTAACGGTTGCGTCGAAGTTTTGAGAAAAACCTGAAAAACACAAGCGCCATTTTAATTTTTTTATTTGACAATCTTTAGTCATCACAACCGTAAGTATATTAAAAATTTAAATACAAAATAAAAACATCTACAACAAAGTAAAGGCCGATTTCAGGAGTCGACCAACCGTACGCATATTATCACACAAATTGTGACCGAAGCTGGCATATGTAAGACGATCCTCTGAGCTCTAAAACCGACTAAAGCTATTTTGAATTTACATATTTCAGGTAAGCGATACAAACTAATTAGCGGTAAATAGGAGAAAAATATGCGCAAAGGAAACTTACCGAAGCGAATGTGCTCAAAATGCAGTGAACAGGCAGTGCCATCTCTTTGTGACGTCGCGAAATTGTGATTTACTGTTATGGCACGTACGAGCATAATACTGACAAACTTACACTTCAACTTTACTGACATTTTAATGTAATTTTTTAAGCGTGATTACGCAAATTTTTAACAATTTCAAAGGCATTGTATTAGTTATTTTTAAATCGTTTCACATTTTTTCTTCGGTTGCAATACGGTTCAGTAAAATTAGTGTAAGGCTGTCTCAAACTGGTGAGAATGTAACTGTGTGACGGTGATATTATCTGAAGTATGTACTTCATGTTTTTGATGTAAATTTACCTTTCATCGACACTTAGGTCGTGTTGAAGAACTTCTAGTGTACACTGCGTCTTAAGTAATTACATCGATAACTAGCTACAATAACATAGGTCATATAAATTACATTAGGGTATTTAACTAAATTTGAAGACCGTTTCGATTTATTAAAAAAAACACGTGAATATAATTATATATTAAAGTTTTTCCACAAAAAGATCGCGTTAGCAACCCTATGACGTCGCCGATATTTCGATCACGTGACGCGTGTGACATGATAAGCAAAAACATCAAAGTCACGATATGATACAGGCAGGAGACGACACTAATAATTCTATTACAAGCTGGTTTCAATCACGTGATCAAGCACAAAAATTGTATTTTGTTGTATGTGTTACATATTTTGGTGGGAATACAGTGATAACAAATTTCAATATAGTCAAATACCCTATTCACAACATCGAATTTAACAGAAGCAAGCTAAGCGAACCGAGGCGAGAAAAACAACAAAACTTTTCTTTATATTTATTCTCAAATATTTAAATTAGCACAATAGATTGCGTCATTTTGTGACAATATACATACAGCTATTTAAAGAACGAAATAGGACGTTATAAAAAATAAATAACCTAGCAGATCTAGAACAAAACTATGGCTACTTCCATAGACAATTCTAAAATACACATCACTTTCACGTTGCTTTTAACATGTCCTCTATATACTTAAACAATTCCTGTCTAAATACTGTACAAGCGACATAGACTTTCAAATAAGAACACAGATAAAATAAAATAAATTATGCAACAGATATAAGTCTCACGATAGTATAATTGCAAAAAAAAAATAGCCAATATATTAAAATGCTAAATGATTTGAACAATGCAGGCAAGAATTGAGACACGATTCAACTTGATTTAAAATAATCTTTATAAATTAATAAAAAACTTTAAAATAATAAAAAGTGTAAAAACTACGATTTCTTTGAAATCTTGACACGATAAAATGGTTGTACTTATTTGTACATTCGAGATGGCTTCATACGAATAATCTCTTTAACGATCGAATACTAGACGTAAATAAATACAACTCTACGAGTTCTTTTTATGTCCATTTTGTAGCTAGAGCGACGGCCATTACATTTAATGGAACCGTATCCTCTAAGATACATCTTCACAATATCGACATAGTGCGATACGCTTGGCTTTTAAGAATAAGAGAAAAACTACAACGCCGTTTAACGAATAGAAATTTATTATTAAATATATCTTAAATTGCCAGCGTATCGCGTTATATAACAACAATAAATATTACATCTAATGTAAACCATACATTCGTTCGGCGGCTTCGGTCGGTCGATTCTTATTTCTTCTTTTTCTTTAGCTTCGGTATTCTGTAATGCGGTGCTTGTGTTAGCGGGCTATGTGTAATACATGTGACAATACAATTCTTAATATACTGTTTAATTGATACTTAAATAACGGTTTTAATATGGTTAGAAACAAGAACTAAACCACCTTATAATAATTGTACAAAATTCAAATTTAAAAATTGTATTGCTGAATAACATTGTGGATATATTTAAAAAATTGTAATTTCTGACATCAAGTGAGTTAGTTCAGTGCGAATTGATAGTACAATAGACATTCTTGTATTTCGTTCAGATTACTTTTTTGTTAATTAAAACTTACCCTGAGCCCTTTCTGTGTGGCGAAGATTGGGATTTTTCCGAATCTAGCAATTTTTTACTTGAATCCTTCATGAAACCTGCAAGAAATGTTTAATTAATATAATTAATTTGTGTACAATATATCTAATATGTAAATTAGCTTCTTTCTGTTTATACTGTACGAGCAATTAAATTGTAGGGGTATTTACAATGTTTATAGTAGTGAATTCTATTGAGAACACGAGCAAAGAGCTAGAAAATTCTACATACCTTTGCCAGACATTCCGAAGACAGAGTTGCCCAAATCGTTCAGGTTATTAGCGAATTTATCAGCTTCTGACGTCACGCTCTCCGCAATTGTTGCTTCCGCATTCGAGACACCCTCAGCTAAATCACTCTCGGCCTTTTCTAGCCTTTGAACAGCCTCGTCTTTTCTCTCGTTAGCCGCTCCTTTGACATCTTCCAGCTTGTTCCCCGCTGTCACCGTGAATCCTTCAAAAGTATCCTTAGCAATACCAAACAATTCCTTCGAACCCTCTTCCGTTTTTTGTGCTGTGCTTTGTGCGTCTGCGATTACTTCCTTTGCTGAATCTTCTAAACTGTCAAACGTGTTCCCAGCTGAACTTTGGAGGCTGTGTAATGTATCTTGTGCTGAACTCTCCAGACCTTGTACGTCATCTTTTATATCTGCGTATGTGTCACGCGTGCTACTTTGAAGGTCGTCCCAAGTGTCCTTAGCGTCGTTTACTTTATCCTTCGTAGCGGTTTCGAGCTTATCGAAAGCGCCCAAGGATGAATCTTTCACGTAATCGACCGCTTGTTGCGCTGATTCCTTTGTATTGCCAACCTGATGACTTACTGCATGTTGAATGTTGTCAAAACTATCTTTGCCAGCATCATTAATTTCATCAACTTTGCTGGCAATGTTGGCTTGGATATTTGACTTTTTGTTTACTGCGGCATTTAATGTTTCCTCGGCCGTCCTTTTGATGTCCTCCGTGGCAATTTCTGCTTCTTGCCTTATTCTGTCCATGTGATCATTAGCTGCATTCTGTATAAATGTGTGCGTGTCAATTATATCTCCCTTTTTCTTCTGAACCACGTCTTCTACGATTGTTTTAGTGTCAGAGAGCGCTTTTTCGGCGGCATCTGATTTGTCTTGAATTGCCGATGAAAATTCATCTTTTTTGGCCTGTACATTGTCAACTATTTCATCTCGTTTACTCTGCGCCGCTTGGATAACTTTATCTTTCTCTTGATTAATGCTTTCAACAACTTGACTAGTTTTGTCGTGTAAATCGTGCAGTGCATGTTCTTTTGCTCCTTGAGTACTGTGTACTAAATTATCTTTTTCGGAATTAAGTCTCTCAACTAAATTATTTTTGTTTTGTTTTAAGAGATCTTGATTTCCTTGAATTTCATCAAGCATTTCATTGGTTTTAGTTTCTAAGAATTGCACCACTTTGCCTTCGGTTTTTTGTAACTTTTGTTCTTTTTCCTTAAAGCTCGTTTCTACATCGTCTATTAATAATTCCGCTTGGTTGTACGCATTTTGTTTAACCTCGTCCTTTTTATCATCAATTTGTTTTATAACATTGTCGGTAGTTTCCTGAACTGTATGCAAAGCATTATCTTTAGCTTCCAATAATTCTTGCGTAATATCATTCTTTTTATTTTCAACATTTTGTATTAATTGTGTTGAATGATCTTGAACATTTTCAATGGCAGCATCTTTAGAGCTCTCAACATTATTTACAACGTCCTGTACACTGATGTCTACAGCATCTTTTGTAGTTTGCACAATACCTTTTAGTTCGTCAGTTTTGTTTTGTACTTTTTTTATTAAATCTTCACCTTCATTTATAATATTTTCTTTATGATTATTTAATTGTTGACTCTCATTTTGCAGAAAATCTACACATTGTTCTTGTTTTTTGGCCACCGTTTCATCGGCATCTTCTTTTATTTGGGATGCTTGTTTAGCTAATTTACTTGCACTTTTCTTGCTCTTTGATTTAATTTCTTCTTCAGCTTTGTCTTTTTCACCAAATATGTTATGAACAAGACCCGTAAAGAAATTCTTTCCTTCTTTTGATTTCTTTTTCCCTTCCGCTTTTATATTTTCCTTTGTGTCTTTTGCTTTTGTTTTGATGTTTTCAGCTACTTTTTCAGTTTTTTCTTTCGCGGAGTCCAAAGTGTCTTCTAGATCATTCAACTTTTCACTAGTGACATCTTTAATATCTTCAATTTTATTTTTAGTTTCTTCCTTGATATTATTTGCTTTATTACTTAAATTTTCTTTTACTTCAATAACTTTTTCTTTAGTAGCTTCCTTAACACTTTCTGCTTTATCTTTCACACCTGCCTTGAAATCATTTGTTTTTTGATTTATGTCATCTTTTACTTCTTGGGCAGTATTTTTTATTTTAGTGAGACCTTCTTGAGCTTTATTTTTCAAAGTGTTTTCATTTTCTTCTAAACACACTTTAATAGTATCATTCTTCTCACTAATATGTTTCGATGCTTCCATTTGTTCAGCGGCTAAGAAATCCATTACGAGTGCTTTGTGGTCAGATGATTTAGGATTAGATTGGCTAAGCAAGTTATTAACAATATCCTGCGCAGCGGATTTAATATTTTCAACTTCAGCTGTTGCTTGAGACCGCACATCAGACTTCAGAGTATCGATATTATTTTTTGCATTTTCTTGCCTTCGGCATTTACAATTGTTCTCACCAGCAAATGATTTTATATCATTAGCACTATCTTTGACATTATCTTTTAAAGTTTCTTCAACGATGACAAGGTCATTTTTATAGTTCTGCAAATTTTTGTTCACTTTTGAAACTTCACTCTTAAGATTATCCTTTTCATTGTCGAGTCTATCTAGAACGTCCTTTGATTCACCATTTGATCTGTCAGCTACTTCTTGTGTTGTTTCGTGAATTGTAAAATTCACTTGTTCAATTCTGTCCGCTAAATTGGACGTTTCGTCGTGACGGTGTTTTTCACCTTTTTTGTATTTGCCTTCGCAGCATCCAGTGTAAAATTGGAATGGGTCAGTTTTATGGCAATGTAACGGAGTATCTACAGGTTGCATGTGCTCATACTGATGGTATGTCTCATCAGTCTTTTCCTTTAGGCTCGGTTGATCTTCATCTACGATAAGTTTTGTCAAATATACTTGATTGTTTGCATCTTCGTCAATTTTTACGTGAGGCTTAACCTTTAGATCTTTGAACATATCATCTACTTTTTCTAACAGGTCTTCGTTTATAATTCTGGGTGCAGGTTTCGGTGGGGACTTTTCTTTAGATTCACGCGGCTTTGGCTGCGGTTTCGGAGAGGACTCTTTGCTGTCATCCTTTTCTTCGCTATGTCCGAAAACATTTTTGACCTTACCGGCGAGGCCTCCAAAAAAGCCCTCCGGTTTCTTTTTGCCTTTCTCTAATGTATTCATAGGGGTCTTATCTTCGTCTGAGTCAAAAGTGGCTTTAACTTTATTCGAGTCAACGTGTACGGAATCGCCGTTTACTGAAAATATAAATGAAATTTAAGAAAAAGGTTTCGGACGCGTATGTGTAAATTTAAATGTTGACAAAGAATTATTTACCTTGCGGTTTGGGCTTCACATCGTCCGCATCCGTAGGAGTGAATTTCACATTACCATTTGCAATGTTTTTGTCCTAGAAAATGGAATATAATAATGTATTTGATGACAAATGAACGCAAGCCAGTGAGCACATAACCCATGTCAAATGATCATCATGACTTTGAGCATTCTATTCTATCGATGTTCTAACTACAGGATAACAAGCATGGTACCTATGGTATTCGTTTACAAATCAATATAGCGGGACATTTTGGGGTATAGAGTTGACATTACCGTTGCATATACATTAGAAATGAAACTCACGTGTCCGTTGAGCTGTGGTGAAGTTTCATGGTGTGTAGGAAGAGGCGGTGGCCCAATACTGTGATTGTGGTCACCCCAGTGGAAGCTCAGTTCGTCTTTTAATGCGTCAAAACCTGGTTATAAAGACGTATGAACAATTTTATATAAACCTTTTTATTATAGCTCTCAGCTAAAGCACGTGACCGAAGTTTCGAAGCTTCGTTTTTTGTATTCGTTAAAATAAGTGTATACACAGTAACATCTAGAAACATCTTCAAATGTTTTTCTTACCCGTATTAACTTATAATATGAAAGAACTACTATACATATATACATTTCGATTACATAGACGGTGACACAGCTAACTAAGTCGAGGCTTTGATTCTCGTCTGTCGGTACTTTTCTGATATTTTTTAATTTATGAAAATGTTTAGTGGATTATCACATTATAATAGACGTTCAAGGTTCTTTACCTGATTGGTCAAGGTTCAAGTAGTCAATTTGACTCTTAGCAGCGCGCGGCGCGATGCGTTCAGGTAGCTCTACATCCAAAACACATGCTGGAGTTTGTGATTGTTCACCTTTCGCTACCTGGAATCATATTTTCAATATGACATAAATCGTAGTCATTCGTCATATAATTACTTCCATGACGAGAGGATAGACAGGTATGAGGCTCAGTTGGTCAATGGAATGGATGGACGGTTATCCCCGGCCGTATAAAATCTCTATATTCTAAATAAGATAGGCTCTCGAACTATTTTGGCTTTGGAAATCCACAGATAGAAAATCAAAACCCACATTTACATTTCATGTTTTTTTGGTGGATTTATATTCCTACCAACAACATAACCTGACAGACAGTCTAGCATGTTTAAAAATTATTCTGACCTTGGGTTCGTTCATGAAGTAAATCCTGCCAGAAGGGCTCTCTTCGTGGTGTTTCACTCGAACTGTGAATTCCACACGGTTGTCCTTGAATGCCTGAAAGGAGAAAATGGTATATAAATATATATTTCGTGTTTTACCGTTAAAAGTGTTTTATTTAGATAATACGTATATTATAATTTTACTAAGGTTGCAATAAAATTTATCGTGAAGATTTGTAATTGGTGAAGAAAACTTACCTCAAATGTGAATAGAGGTTGGCTTCCAGACTTGGTTACGGGGACAAGGTTTCCAGAGAACTCCAAAAACACCTCTTTCCCATCTAAAAAGCGGACTGATGTTGAGTGCGCTATTTCTGTGTAATGTTCCTGAAAAAAATCATTCACTTCATATATGATAGAGACAAGCCAGTGTTCACTTGTGGTAGGTGAATTAACATATAACATCTAATGAAGATGCACCGTTGACCTATTTTGACTTTAGATATTCGGAAATTGAATCCGAAATGACCACCGACTCAAACTGAAATGCGATAATGCCTGACGGCTTTTTTATTTGTGGACAGCGGTTTGACCCGGACGGAATTTCAAAATTTACCCATAATTAATTCCCCGAATTTCCAAATATTTCAAAAAATATATATATTTCATCTTTTAGCAAATAATATTTTTTTATAAATAAAAAGAATCTGAATATAATATTATAAGATCTCTAACAAGCGTGGGACACGTACTATGTACATTTTTTATCTATAAGGCATAAATAAATAAGTATAATCTTACAAACATACCTGTTGCAAGAGTGTTTCATACGCGTATCTGTCTGTTATGTACAGCACAAGCAGTCGTCCTTCCAACGCGTCTAATCGCTTGCCCAAAACGACAATTCGCACCTCAAACGGTACCACCAGCATTTGTCTGCAAAGAACACAGTAAATGGTAATGTGCTTTGTATGTTTAGTATTCTGGTAATAAAAATCATAAATTAAATTAATAAATTTTGACCAAATTTGATTACCGTAAACACGGATAAGACTTCACATTAATTAATGATAGACATATATCGCGGACATTTTAATCAATCAATTAGAGAGGAATCATTCTTATGTAGACGTTTTTTGGAATGTGACTTACGTTGCGGTAACTTTCCCATTTTTATCAAATTTTACATTGTATCTTCAAAAAGATTTTTTCAATTCGAACCAGTTCCTGAGCTTAGCGTGTTAGAATAAACAAGCATTTCAGCTTTATAGTTCTGTAGCTATATATTAGTTTAGATACCTGTATAGTTCTGTAGCTAGCTTCGTTGCGTCGCTGACATTTTGACAGTTCATTAGCCAGAATCTGAAAAAAAAGGGTTTAATTAAAGAATACGGCATTTGAATATAATATAGAAAACTTATAATTTAAAAACTTGTCAGACTGAATAGGCCCATTGCAACAAAGACTCAGGTTATAATATCGATAAACAATATACAAATAATGTTTTTTTCGATAAAAGTGCGTGTGAGGAGTAACTAGGTTATTATCGATAAACGCTTTAGCAAGAAGAAATATGTAGTGCATTTAAAGTATGTGAATATTGTAAAACATGGCGATAAAGGGTTTCCTTTTTTTGAAAACTGGAGTTTAAGGTCTTTGTAACTAATGTGACGTTCATAAGTGTATCTAATTACCTACGTGAATAAATGATTTTTGACTTAGACTTTTGTGTGACGTCACAGTATTAAATAGTCTTATTACCTAGCAGAAACAGTAGTTGTGAAGGAAGCACAGTCATCCGTAATGGTGAGTGGAGTGGAGCCTGTCACATCTTCCCACACAGCTCGCGCTTGACCGCCCATTATGGAGCACAGCAGTCGTAGATTGGCCGTCGATGGTTTCTCTCCCGGCTTCAAGAAAACAATTACATATATTAAAGAACATCAACATTATGTAGGTAGGTAGAGTCAATTTAACTAGGTGGAAAGAATGACAAGTGCCATGAAAGTCAGTGTTATTTATTACCAAGTAATTAGACACAATTAAGATCTTTAATTTAAATAAAGCACCTAAATGAAATGTATCAGTAAAATTATTTACATTTTTTCTTTATCTACGACACTCTACGATTCGAGTACTTTGCAGCAGTTGTGGTCACGGGGGCAAAAGCCGTTTATTGTCCTAGTTGAAATAAATTGTAAAGTTAACTAATACATTTCGCGTTATAAACCGTTTCAACAAATCTTCCGTCTTTTTCTTTTAAGTTTGGTCTATTTGAAACAAATAAATTTTTGGCTATTTTTACACAACTGTTCTAACTGTACTGACATAAATATAACCGTTATACATTGATTGTATCTAATGTATATACTTATAACAGTTAAATATTAACGTGTCCATAACAAGTTAATACGTCGAATAGATATAACAGCTTATTTCTTATTAGTTGTACCGAAAAAGTAAAAACGGAACCATATTACAGATAACTAAATCATCTGGGGGGAGGGAATACAATATGGCATCAGTGTACCTACAATCCTTCGTGTGCGAGTGCGACTCACACTTAGCCGTTTTCAATACATACCTTTTGATCAGCGGAATGTGGTAGAGGCACTGTGAGGGTTATGCTTCGATGGAACTTCCTACGACGTGGTTCCACAGTCAGCACGGGCGAAACGGCAGCGTGGCGAGGTAGGACACGACGGCAGAGGGAGCCGCCAGCACCGTGGGCTTGGAGTCCCACTCGGATCCGTTTGGTCAAAGCTTGTGGAGGGAAGAGGGCTTGGACCTGTAAAATGGCGAAATAATGAAATATTCACTTATATTTATAATTTTCATGATTAGCTATTTGAAAATGCGAAAAATTATAGCGTCAATGACTGTTATCCGTATTAAGGATAAGTTTTGAAAAAGTGAAACAGTAAAAAATCACTCTTAAACAATTGTGACCTGACACGGGTTTATGATGACGTCACTTGCTTATAAACAGTGCTATGAACCTTGCTGCCTAGTGTTGAAACAGTTCTATTCTCCGGAATAATAAAGAAACAAATTTGTAATTAATTTCATTACTATTATCACTGTTAAAATATTTGGTACAAATATGCATAGATTGTACATCATAAGATCGACATACACTAATGGCCGATATAGATCGTGACGTCACTAGCCACATTATTTCGCAAAATTAGCGTATATGCGCAATTTAAATGGGGGGTTTTTAATTTGATATATTTGAGGGGATATGTATAAAAAATACTCTTTTTAAATATGGCCAAATAGCATATATAGACATAAACCGGTTTAAGATACTATTATTAATCTCAAAACTCACTTGCGGTATATGCGCAGAGGAGACAGTGCCTCCTTCAGGTCCGATGATATGTACTTCTTGTCTCACGCGAGACACCACAGCCAAATAGTGAGGGAAGTCACACGTGATGATTCGAGTCACTCTCTCACCGTTCTCTCCCAAAGTTTCGCCGCTGTTCCCGTGGTCTTGTCTTTCCCGTGTCAATGCCTCCTGAGAAGAAATTGTATTAAATCTTAATGACATTTTTAGAAATAGAAGTAACTTTTATGTATAGGAAACAAGACATTTTATTTAAGTATAAAATTTAGTGTTTGTGAAGGAAATCTTTTATAATACGTACCGGACGTTTCGGAAAATAGGACTACTACGTAGAAAAACAATAAAACAATTGTGTTTTACAAAAAAATCAATCCTGTTTGAATGCTAGAAGGGGACAGACGTTCATGGGGTCGCTTGATGGTAAATAATATAATATATATATATTATAACATATAAACTAGATGAGATGACGACTTTTTTGACTTGGACATTCGGGAATACAAACACTGAAATCGAAACGGCATTAAATTACATGGTTTTTGCACCGGATGGTGTTTTGTAGGCCAAAGAGAATTTTCGATATATGGGCCAAAATACTTTTTGATGCCTAAAAACCAGTCCCTGAATAAATTACATAATGCGAATCCGATACAAAATTGTGACAATAGTATAATCATTTTAAAATTTAACATTATTATCTAATACAAAAACATATTTGAACTGAAATAATTGTTATTAATTGAAAATTTACAGTAACAAAGTTGCCATTTTTAGTAACACAGCCGTTTTTCATACTAAATATCTATGTCCCTGAGCATGTGTGCCAAAATATACGGAACAATTTCTCAAAATATTTCCTAGTGGCGGTAATTATAGTGGTATAATAAAAATGCAAGGTTTGGGCGTTATTAGAATGGCATTAGAAACGTTTTAAATTGAACATTTAGTAAAATAAAAAAATAATATATCTGTGTCCCCAACGAGTAACAATATCGTTGCTACCTTGCGTTACTGTATGAAAAAAGACTTTAAAATGATTGGATTAAGGTTACTCGCACATTATTTGGTTCGATTTGTAGTAACTCGTTAAACAAACACACAACACGCGGGGCAGTACTCTCGCCGTGCTGGTCGCGTCCCGGTCCGTGAAGAGGTGCTGTATCTATTGCCTGTCTCTAGTTACCGTGTTAATGTTACGTCCTGACGATATTTCACGTTATTATTGTTTTATTACGCATTTAGGTATGTTTTGCTACCGTGAGTGTAAAAATATTGGATTTATTATTTGATTTGGAAATTATTTACAATTTAGTCAAATATTTACAACTGCGTAACTCTACACTGTTACAAAAAAAGTAACAGTAGTTAGATAGATAACTAGTTGTATTTTTGTTACTTATAAACAGTATACTATTTAAATCCGATATAGCTATAGGAAAATTGTATCTTTTTTTCTCAGAAAAAAGTTTCTGTCCTAAATGCGCTGACAAACAGAAAAAAACGTCTATAGATAAAAATTGAAACAAGACCCGGTAAAAAATGCTGAATGGATTATGAAATTTCTAATATTGCAAATAATTCTAATATCAGCCTCTATCTGGCACCAATCCAAATTAGTGATAACTATCTTCTACAATTCATTTTTTCCCGAGCAGTACCGTCGACAGAAGCAAAATTTTTATTTCATTAGTCACCAATATTACTGAGTAAAAATATATTAATGGAATTTCTTGAAGTGGGCACGGCAAAGGGGCTTGAGTGTTGGCGGCTATCTCAAACATGCAGAAAAAAGTTGCTGTTAGTTCAAATATTTCTGCAAGATTTTTTGACACCCTAAAAGACTTGAGCAAGGTCCGTACTTGGTGAATGACTGACAGGATTTCATAACGTTGAAAAAATCAAAGTCTAGTCACTCAGGACATGCAATAACCAGGTTTTTACTCACACTAGGGTGAATTCCTAAAGAGACCTTAGTTGTTTTTGCAAGAGGAGTTTTTTTATCTGATCAAAAATCGCTTACTTCCTATGAAAAAGAAGACGTTCCATTTGATGAATCGGAAATGATATAGTCCTTGATAATATATTTGTTGCCGTACCTTAAGGTAGTATTACAAATTTATCAGAAGTTTATTATTCGTCTTCTAGTTGAGAGGCCAGTTGTCTAAGTTCAAATCTTAGGAACACAGTGACACAAATCGAAAAGGAATGTTCTCCTACTACACATCCTGTACAAGGAAAAATTTTTATGGTGTTGTTAAAGGTAAAGTGATGAAGAAGGGGACGTAAATTTGTTTTAAATGAGATGCAAAATCAAAAGTAATACCGAATATCTTACGAACCATACGAAAAATTGTAGAAATTGTCCCTAACCCCAAAGTTGTCGTGAAAGGTAAAAGATTATACTTCAATTATGACAAGCCAAAAAATTTCTGAAGAGAGACTGAAGATATAGTGCCTCGTTAGTTTATACAGTTGATTTTCTCATTAAGGTACATTAATTCTTAACAAATATTGACGTAGGCAACGTTTTTGTTACTTGAGGTACTTAATTGTCGAGTCATGAACAGTTAAAATTGTTTTGTTATAAAGATCTCTTTAAAAACAAAGTTAGTTTAAAATCTATTGTTACAAATTAATACTGTTACTTTTTTCCCTCTTGTTTTATTGTATCTTTAATTATACAAAGGACTCTTATGTCAAAAATGTCTTAAATTTATACTACGTACTATGAAAGAAAAATTGTTGTCAATTGGAATTATTTAAGTTGATTTTTGTAATTTATGGAAAAGTTTAAGTTTTAATTTTAAATAGTAAGTGTTAAATATATTCATAAATATTATTTCTGTGATTTTGCTTTATAGGTGGTTTATATAATACTACAGTTTAAAATGACGTATTATTAAGTCTCAAGTCCGTTTATTAAATTCATTTAAAATAGTACCAGTTGTTTAATTTCTCGAAACTTGATTATTATATGCTATAAATATTATTAAATCATTTAAACCATCGCTGCTGAGGTAGGTGTGTTGTAAATAAACTTAACATTTATTTCAGTTTAAAAAAGGATTAAGTATTTCAATTTTGAAAAAAAAATCTGAATTGTGTTCTCGGATTAGGCACTTAAAAGTATTTTGGCCCATATATTTAATATCCAGATTTCCAAACGAAGTTCATTAGGTTTCAGAAAATTTGTAATTGATTAGAAAAACTTTGAACATCGCACCCACAACCAACACCCATCAAACTAAATTATTTTTTTTAAAATGACATCGATTTCTTTTATACTAACGAGAACAATTTCATTTAAATAAAACACTTTAACGGTTTAAAACGCGATATATTAGTTAAACTTATTTGAAAATGATTTTTAACTTCGGCCCGACGTTTCAGATGCTTTGCAGCAGCCGTGGTCAGGGGAGTCTCCCCCCGTTTTAAACCGTTAAAGTGTTTTATTTAAATGTGTACTACTCGCGTAAACTATAGAGAACAATCTCTATATTTATAATTCTCTAGTAATATTGGCTTTTATTCATATTATGTAGGGATGCATATTTTTTAGTTATTATCTATACTGTAGTTATAAGAAGACGTACTTGTATCATAGCATTGTCGTTGTTGTGCAAATAATGGTCCTGCCAGGTCTCTCCAGTGTCTGAACGAAGGATCACTATCTCTCGCTCGGGACATGACGCTGTAAATATCGGTACTTCGATGATGACAGGCCTGGAAAAAATATATTAAGATATACGTCTTATAAGCATTTCTATAACATCAGTAGAATTATGTAGAAGATACATACGCTAAGAATTTAGCTCCTTGTGGTTGTAATTCAAGAAGCCTGGACGCTAGAGCTTCTCCCTCCATGAGGGGTGGGGGTGCAGCAGCTGGCGCCCGACGCGTTGCTGCTCTGAAAGATAATATAATACAAATAATTTAGTATTTTTATTTGCTTGTAGGTTGTAGTAATCAACAGGTCGTGGATTTGATCCCCACCAGGTCCAACATTTTCTAATTTGTAATTTTTCTGAAAGATGTTGCACGTCACGAAATCTGGATCAAATGGTAGTAATATCTAAATTCTGTCTGGGTCATGAATCACAGGTGAAAAAGCCGTCCAAGTTAAATCGCGTTTCGGTATCAGTCTGTGTTTTGCCGAATATCTAAAGCGAAAATAGGCCGACGGCGCATCTTGTTTAGATGAAATATGAATGCGGTATATCACCTACTTAAAGAGAACCTAAGCTGTCCTCCTCTGTGATAAAAAATGTTCATGTTTATGGATTTATATCTGTAGGTGTTAAACCACAGTAACCTTGTTAATTTTTAATTGAACTAAATAACAATAGATTTTAAAAAGCAAAAAATATATAACACGTTTCTCGTTGTTGGTTATATAAATATACTTGTAATCGATGAGAAAGAGAACAAAGCATTAAAATACAAAAGGAATGATGACAATATCTTTTCCAGTGATGTAACGACATCCACAGAGACAATGGAATGATGTCAAAGTACCAGATCACGGGTAAAAATAATTTTCTTAGATGACGTCACGAGTAACTTGATAGCGTTTTAAAATTATACATCTTTAGTCCATACTATAGGTACTTCCATACAAACAAAAACCAATGTATACATTATATAATATGTAGTTTATTAAACTAGTACTCATTTAAATGAAACACCTAACGGTTTTAAACGCGAAATACAAGTTTCCAATGCTTTGCAGCAGCTATGATCACCAGAGTCCCCCGTAAGCCAGACTAAGGCTGCAAAGCATCCGAAAAGTCGGGCCGTAATTAAATTAATAGATATATTTCACGTTTTAAACCATTAAAGTGTTTTGTTATGTTAAACATAACTTTTAAAAAGGCAATTAAATTTATGTGTATTGGAAACAAAATTAAGGCTCCATACTACGTCTGCTATGTGTTAACAAAGGTTAGTTCCTACCTATAAAGGCGCTTAATATTAAAATTAGTAAAAACAAATCATTAAAATAAAACATTTTTAACGGTTTAAAATTTGTTGAATAGCCTTGACCACGGGTACGAATCATTCGAAACGTCGGACGGACAATCAATTGTAAATAATCTCACTTATGCATTAACTACAGACAATTTTTAAACTCGAATCATCTTTTATCACCACATCATCTACCCAAATATGAAGGACAAATGTTATTTGTATTTATCTGGTCATGAGTGACTTTTGGCAAACAAACAGATACTAAATATAAAGAAAGTGAATTGTATTGATAGTGAAAAGCGGGATGTATTTTTAGTATCCGTGACTTGGCCTCAAGTTGAAGATTCGATGACGTGTACGGTATTCTAATTGGTTAGAGCACGAACGCCGTGGGTGCCGGTTCGAGTCCTGCTCGTGTCCATAATTTATTTCGATCTATGAACGATTTTTTATTTAAACAATCTACTCTTATGAATCATGGATTGTCTGCTTAATGTATTAAAATTAATTTAAACGTAAATAATAACTATTATAGAAGCCTCGCCGTTTATTGTGGCAACTCTGAAACAGCTGAACCGAAAATGATAAGTTTTTATCGAGACTACTGAGAAAACTTTAGCTTGGTTGGTAGCATTTTCTGCCACTTCCAATAAGAAAAATAACACATCTTTTTCCACATTGTTGAATGTCATTTAAAATGGTGACTAATATTATAAAGAAGAGTTCGTTTAAATATACTGTCTATAGTTTACGCGAGTAGTACACATTTAAATAAAACATTTTAACGGTTTAAAACGCGATATATTAGTTAAACTTATTTGAAAATGATTTTTAACTTCGGCCCGACGTTTCGTGCTTTGCAGCAGCCGTGGTCACGGGGAGAAACCGTTAAAGTGTTTTATTTAAAAGAGTTCGTTTGTTTGAAGGCGCTAATCTTGAAAACTACTGGTTCGAGATGGATTTCTTTTGTGTTGGTGAGACCATTTATCGAGGAAGGCTGGTCATAATAGATCACGCTTCGACCAATAGTGGAGAGAAGAATTAATGGGATATGTAGTAAAAGCGGAGAAAATTAACATATTTCAGGGTCTCCGTCGACTACGCTGCGAAAACGGTTTAGTACACCCAATAAATATGTAAAATGTGAACGACGGGACGCAGGCGACTTTGTTGGCACGGCGAGTTATAGTTACAGTTAAGCACTATTAATTATACATTATTTAATCATAATAAACAGTGTGTAAGCAGCACACATAGGACACACATGTGAAAGAAATGTCTAGAATAAATTTATGCATCTTATTTTCCCTGGCGTGGCATGTTTCCAAAATAATGTTTGTGTTTACACTATGTGACTACCATTCATTAGTTCGAGATTCGTGTATATTATAAATTTTGTTTGTAAGTCTGTAAATATATGTAACCAATTTTATGACTAGTCCTCCAGTAATCACAACTGTTGCAAAACAACGGAGACTATTTAGTTGTGGATAAATAAATAAAAAATACGTTAAATATATTTCAAGTTTTAAACCGTTAAGATAGCTTTAATAGGACCTAGGAGGATTAAAATAGGACCTTTGAAAATACCACAAAAGGATGTGTTTTTTTTGGTTTCAACGTATAGTGGTAGAACGTTTGACGCAGTTGGTAATGACAAGGTCTTGTCAGATTGTAACAAACCTTTGCTAGACAAACAATACGAATTATATTACAGTACTGTAGGGTCATAACATGTTAAATAAAATTAAATTAAATATACATAAACCTATTTAATTATACAATGGGTCATATAGGTAACCAGTTCCTTTGATATAAGCACTGAGGTCGGGAGTTCGATCCTCGGTAATGCACCAAAACATTCAGATAATGAAAACATTCTGCAATAACCGACATATCTTAGAACCAAAATTTTGACGACATTTGTCATATAATCGTCAACATACAATTCTCATCAGGTTAGCGTGGTTAATTCTAAAAAAAATAAATAAGGAAGACAGCCTCAGTAGCTAAATAACTAAAGGTGTTGCCTGAAGCTAAGCGAAAAGTCCTGGTCGAATGCCGGGACCAGAACCAATAGGAATGTTTTCGTGGGACAGCGCACTGAAGTCCGATCAACTAAATGCCTGTAATTAAACCCATCATTAAAACGGACACAGAAATGTGTTCGCCCCATGCCCTACAGGGGGATACCCGATTTAACTTCTATAATCACGAAGCCTGTATTCCAGCAGTGGTAATTGCCAAAGGATGATGAGCCTAGTATCAGCGTAAATAGGGTATGTAAATGTGTATGTTAAAAATCGATTCTAAATCGAAAAAGTTTACGACTCGGGCAGGACTTGAACCAGCATCATGCGCGTTCCGTGCTGTTGCTAGTATTATGTTCCTAGCGAATGAAATTGTCCTTTTATAGTTCGCGGGACGTAGGTGGAGACCCTATTACGTTCAGACGCCAGCGACCTTCGCGTTTGAAGATAAGATAATTTCGCGTAGGATACATTTCCCTGTTAAACCGTAAATCATTTGTAACGGCAACTCTATTTTCAAACAAGCCTGATGTCACAACTTAATCTCTTGACTTTAGAAAACGAATTATACGAGGCAGCTAGGGATAGAGTGGCCTAATAACAGAAAACATGATTTTCAATATGGAGAAAAATAAAAATGAGTATTACTTAGGCGAAAATTGACTATTCGGTCACTGTGGACTTGTAGATAAACATAACGCGCTAATCTCAGAAACTACGGCATCGAATGAATAAATATTTTTGTGTTAGTTAGAGCATTTATCGAGGAAGGCTATAGCATAACATCGCCCTGTCACATTAGTCACAAGCGGAGATACAGCGAGATATGTAAAAGAAATTGGCAAAATTATTCATCATATCGGTCCACGCTGCAAAAGCGGTCCATGATACATAAAAAATATGTATGAAAGAAGGATCTAAAAAAAGTCCACGATACTATATGTCTATTTTACAAGATTGACTTGCAAGAACGACGGGAAAGGACGCGACCGACGTCGTGGGTAATAGCTTAAGTTTATAAAGATGAAGAGGTTTGCTATAACGAATTTTAATGCCTAAAATAACGTTCTTGCGTTGACCAAGTCGCTGATTTAGCTAGTATTTCATATGGCATAAGAACTTTCGCCAAGTTAGCTAAAGTAAAGTTGATAAATGAAAATAATTACCGGCATGTAACTCTGGTGGGTGCTGCACATGCTGCTGGGGGGACAATAATTCTGACTCCACCACGTCTCTTGGCCTTCATGGCACCGCCCCGGGCGTCCACCACAAATGACACCAGGAATCTGGAATAGAAGGACCATAGTTTTATGGCAAATAATAAAAGTGTGTTTCTACCAATTAAGTTCACTACACACCTCTTGTTTGGCGGAAGGAAATGTGTTATTATATGCCTTTTTATGTGAAACTGTATTCAGCCCAGTGATTTTAGGTCTCATTAGAATGAATCGTTGTTTAGTTATATTGAGATATGAAATGGAAATTGTTTAAATTCGGCTAAAAGTGTTAATAATTTTGTTGGTTGAAATTTTCGAGAAAGGCTTAACCTAGGCTTCGATCAACAGACAATAAATCTTTGAGGATTATGTTGGCTGCGAAAACAGTTCAGGATACCCAAAAGATATGTGTAAAAAAAATTGTCTTTAAATAATATAAAAAGATGTCCACGACTGTATATCTTTCTTTAAAGATTAACAAGAACGAAGGGACTAGACCGAGGCTAAAAATGAGGAGGTTAGCAAACATTTTCATGGCCATTATAACTATTCTACGCGGACGATGTCGCTGGCACAGGTACTATTCCCTCACCCGATGTCAAGCGGTTGTCGTTCAATGGTGGCGACTCGACTGTCATTGTTGCTGGGCCAAAGGTGTCCGTCCGTGACGCTGTCTTCCAGCGGCTTGGCTCTGTTCAGGGTGCCTGCCTCGCTGTTCATGTAGCGGTATTGTTGCTGCTGTTGGATAGGACACTCCACTTCTCCTGTTCAAATTAAATCACTATAAGGTACTAAATACATACAAGCACGAAGCTCACTTGATAGATAGTATATCACCAAATACCCCAGCCATAAAACATCGAAACAAGATATGATTCCACTATTTCGGTATTTCACATTCGTACAAGCTAAAGTGATAAAACTTCACAGCTTTTTCGTCTGTGGACGGTGTTCCGTGAACCGGACGGAGTTTTGATATTCGCACCACCCATTTCCAGACGAAGTCCAACATCTTTCACAGAACTTATAAAGAGATAAGAAGAATGTTGGATACGATACGTCGTTGATAAGCCATACATTGCTACCTACAGACCCGTCAAATAGGTTTATACCTAAGCTCGATTCTACAGTTTAAACATTTCCTTCTTTTTTTTACTTGAACATGGAAGGAACTATATATTTTTTTAATAATGCTTCCCTAGATTCAAAAACACAAAGGCCCCGGGCTAGAATAACTTTTACGACGATCTCTCTTGCGAATGGACACATTCACCTCGTCAAGTCTTTGAGTGAACAAAGTAAAGACATTATATTCACGTCATAGGTATCTTCCATGGCTATCGATAGTACTAAAAATATTTTCTTGAAAATCCTAGCCTAAAATCTATAAATTTAGATCTGTATTCACCTCCTTCGTCTTCCGAGTCGCTCATGAATGTATCCTGCATGAGCTCGGGGGCTGCAACTCTGTATTTTCCTTCCAGACCTCCTGAAACAACGGAAAATTTATTTAGTTCTTCATAATTTTATAAATATCGAAAAATTAATACTAAAAGTTTGAAGCGAGTCCAATGATCATATGCGTTAAGTTTTGACAACGCTAGTTAAATATAAAATCAAAAACAAATAAACGGAAAGAGACGGAAAGAGACGGAAATACTGTCTCTTGTCTCACCTTCACGTCCAAAGCGGTTGATGCAAGTAATTTGCATACTTTTTATTACAGTTAAGTTCAATGACAATGCACTTAAGTTTAAATTAAATTAAACGAGATTTATATCGTGGTTTTATCGAGGCTTTAAAATTTCAAGTGAGCAGGGACGAAAGTGTTAAATAAAATTAAGTATTTTGTTTGTTCACATAGAATGTGACATGTCTCAAGTTTGAAACGCGAAATAGATAAATGAATTTTGCATTTATTTTTCTATATACCTATAAAGCAAACGACGACCTGGTCATGGTAGCACGGTAGCAAGGTAGGCAGGGAAACGCTGGTCTAACTAAACTAGAAAACAACCGGTGGCGTACTGGAAGTCTATGGGGGAGGCCTATGTCCAGCAGTGGACACCGAACGGCTGAATCGAAATCGATAAAGCAAACAAATTAGCAGGAAACGTAATGTCGGGTCATGGTTGATAATAAGTGTTTTAAACTAATAAACGTGAATTAAAAAACGATTTTAGATTGAAAACTTGACGACACGGGCGTAACCGGCATCCAGTGCTACTTCTCTAACCAATTGAGCTACCGAATTCGAATTCGAATTTTCTTCAACCTATCGATACACGCACCTCTCGCGCAATTTTAACCTTAAGATTAAATATCTTATGCTTTAAAGCCATAATTATTAAGATCATCGTACTGGTATAATACTTAACATGGTCAAGAATTCGAGTCCCGGTTCTTAAATCCATTCCCATATGATAGAGAAGGAATGTTTACTTTTATAAACCGATCTCAATCTGACGTCAAAGACGCCCTCCTTTAGTCTCCCCTGATCACGGCTGCTGTAAAGCGTCCGAAACGTGGGGCTATAGTAATAATTTTCAAACAAGTTCAATATATATCGAGTTTTAAACCGTCAAAGTTTCATTTCAACGATCTCAATCTGTTAACTTCTATTATAGACAACTATAAATCATCATAATTATCAATATAATGAGCGTAGCGTGCTACACGCTTCAGGCCACGTGCGACCAACAAACAATATAATTAGTTGTTAGTATGTGTTAAGGAGATCATTCATTCACTCTTACATAACTTGGTATGAGGTCACGCGCTGATTTGCCATGACGAAACGACCTTTTGACATATCTTAATTCAATATACATTGATTGATGTAATTCGTAGGACTAATTTTTAATTAGAGACTACAAGAGACCATATGAAGCGCAGAGGCAGAGTAGCCTAACTGCAATTTAATGTCTTGACTTATTTATATACAAGAGCTGTGACCGAAAATTATACGTACTTTTAAATAAAACATAAGTTAAATCGACAATAGTTAAACTTATTTGAAAATGTTTTTAACTTCGGCCCGACGTTTCGGATGCTTTGCAGCAGCCGTGGTCACGGGGAGACCTTAACATACTTCTTATACAGATAATAGTACAAATACATTTTAGCCTAAGTTTTCCTCCATATTGGAAATGATGTTATTCGTTATTAGGCCACTCTGCCTCTAGCGGCCAAATATTCAAAAATAAACGAATATATTTAGCGTTTAAAAACCGTTACGTGTTTGATTTAATTAAACATAGTTCGACCAATATTTAATTTAAAAACGTTTTGATTGTATGACAAATGTAACATAAGTTTGATGGCGTAATCTTGTTTAATCTTTAAGCTTTTCATATTTACAATATACCTTAAATGAAAGTTATCCTAAAGAAGAAGAAATACCAACTCAAAAATTGCACTGTCGTCCTATTTTGGCTTTGGATATTCAGAAATCCATACTAGACAGCCGACTAGGAAAGTAAGTAAATTTGGTTATAAGATTTATGTAATTCTTGTTACTAAAGGCTTTTCATGGCCTCACAGTATGTAAGTAATTGTGTTCAGTGTTGTATTGAAACCTAAATGAACAAGATGCTCTAGTCGACCTATTTTGGCTTCGGATATTCAAGAAATACACGGAAGCAATGAAACTTGACATCTAGAGACGGTGGTTCGTGACCCGGAATTTCTATATTCCAACCCATTTCATATCCAGATAACCAGACGAAGGGTTGCTTCAGAAAAATTATAATGATGAACATGCTGGACCCATTGGTCATCGAACCTGCGACCCCTTGATTGCTATTATATTTCTATCATTAAACCGACAACACACGGGGACACTGAAATGAATGTCAAGAACAGTTATTTATTGTTATTACAAATAGTCGACAATGCGTCTCGGGCTTTTATTTCAAGCATTACCAATATGTTTACGACGCATTAGAAGTTCGCTTTTTATGAATCAGCGACGAGAATAGATCGCCTAGGATCGATTTGTAAAACCTTGCGGCAATTCGTTACAGTTATGGGCTTTTCGTTATCTCTGTAATAATGTACATACATTTTATAGCTGAAAAAAAAACAGTAGTAAAAACAGTCTATAGTTTACGCGAGTAGTACACATTTAAATAAAACGGTTTAAAACGCGATATATTAGTTAAACTTATTTGAAAATGGGGACGCTGTGAGTGAGTCTCCCCATGACCACGGCTGCTGCAAAGCATCCGAAACGTCGGGCCGAAGTTAAAAATCAGTTTTTAAAATATAATTAGGTATTTTTTATAGATAACTAGATGTGCCCGAGGCTACGGGCCAACATACGCCATAATAATAGATAATCATATAAAATATTGCCCGTAGAAAACAACTATTCAGCTATTTTCTAAGTATTTTTATATCCGAGTTGTAAATCTAAGACCTTCTTAGAGAAGCAATGTTTTCTTGCTTGTTTAAATCGCCACTGTTTTATTTCTGTATATTGCTCATTGTTATTTCCGTTTGATGATTATTTTGGCGCGATTACATTGTGTTTGCGTTGTACATTAGTGAGGGGAGCTAGACCAATTAATACTTTTCATATAACGACATTTTAATAGCCCGCGGAAGCCTGCATACGAACTATTGTTCCGGGATCTACGAACGTAGCTTCATATAAAATTGGGGCGAAACAATTTGTCCATTTTTCCAATCAATCATTGCTTGACTTAGGTATGTATATATTTAAAGATGTGTTTTAATCCGTTCAAAAATACTATTCAAAGATCTACATGCGTGTTTATTTGAAAAATTATCACATCTTTGTATACAGTCGAAACCAATAGTTATGTCGCATTTAAAACAATAAAAAAAAATAAAGTTAATGAAGATTATAAGATAGAGGAATTTAGCAACAACAAGAGACTAATATTTTCTAGAACACATAAGTTACAACAAACATGTCAAACTAAAACAATGTTTTAGATATCTTTGTCTAAGATTACCTAAGATGAAAAACAAAACTGTCCGCAGTCTAAATTCAGACCACATTTATTGAACATAAGTTTTTTCATTGAATTGGGCGACATTGAGTATCTAATAAGGTAATTTAAGGTTATCTTGACCACAATTTCATAGTCAAAGTCGACCTACCCTCCCATTTTACAATTTCTATGAAGATATGTCTTACATTGACTCTTCGCTTTTGAACACGTAAACAGCGGAGTACATCGGTTGACATCACATAAGGGACTAATGTAGGTGAATCTGTTTGTTTACCCGCATTGCATTTTAATGGACAGTGCGCATCTATTTCAACACGCGCTATGCAAGTGATTTGAGTTAACACATCATTCTTACATCAGCCCTTTTTATAGATGGCTAGATGCGCCCGCGACTTCGTCCACGTGGAATAGTAATTTCGGGCATCACATCTATATTCTATACTAATATTATAAGACTAAAAATTTTGTTTGAACGCGCTAATCTCAGGATCTACTAATGAGAATTGAAAAAAATCTCTTCGTTTGGGTTAGAGGATCTAGGAAGGACTTTAAACATCTCGCTGCGACCAAAGGAGCGAAAAAAAGGGGTGGGAGATTGCGCGGCCTATGTTCAGTTGTTTTCGTCAAAATTGGCTTAGGCCGTTTTAGTTGTAATAAATAAATATTGTTTGTTTATGTAATGAACTCCAGTAACGCTGAAGAACAAATAACTGTTCTGGCATGGTACCAAAATAAGACTCCTCATGCATGGTAGAAGGAAATATTCCGTAAAACCGTCTAATTTCATAAGAAGCGTAAGATTTTGTAAATAAGTTAAAAGTTTAACTAATAAACGATGAAGAAACACTTTAACAGTTTAAAGCGCAATATATTTTTTAGTTAAACTTGTTTGAAAATTATTATTAACGTCCCTACGTTTCGGATGCTTTGCAGCCGTGGTCATGGGGAGACAGTCTCCCCTTTCAAACACATTTTACTAAAAAATATATCGCGTTTACACCGTTAAAGTGTTTTATTTAAATGTGTACTACTCGCGTAAACTACAGACAGTAATATTGGTGTTATAGATCTAAGTCTTAATTTGATCTAACAATCAGTAGGTACTTTAGTTACCTAATACAATGGGTTTCTAAGCCTATAAATAACCTAATTATCACAATCGCCACAATGATGAATGACTACGATTGTCTAAAAGGACTTAATTAATATATCCTTTAACCCCAATACACGTCTCACCTCGACTTCAATTCACAGTATCTCTTATCAACAGTTAGCATAATGCATTTTACAACGATAGAGATCATTTAGTGCAAATCATGAAACTGTAAAATAACTATCGTTACATCACTTGTAACGCCGTTACGCGCCGTTTTACTAAGAACTACAAGCATATTTACTGCATATAAAGTGTCAACAAGATGCGCTGTCGGCCTATTTGCCTTCGGATATTGGGAAATCCACAGCCTGAAACCGAAACACGATTAAACTTGACGTAAAAGGTTCTTCA